GACACCATGCGCGCAGTCAAGACTCATCAGCATGCTCCTGCTATATGAGCGGAATGTGCTGCACACCATCATTCGAGTGCATCCGCGGCGTTGCGCCACAGCTTGGGGCTGAAATGCTTCTGGTGCATGAGGCGATGTTGTGTCTCACTTTACTCTCAGATCCATATAACACCTGCACACACAGCCGAGGACAACGTAGTCACGAGTCTGGCTGCGTGGCGTCACACATGCATGCAGGCACGAGTGATGAGTCGTGAGTGTCAGAACGCTCGCGACTCTGGACGACTAGGAGCTGCTACTGCACTCACACTCCTTTGTTTCCAGACCTCCTCTTAACTACATCGATGTCCAGCCGGCATGCATATAAAGTCACGCTTCGCCCTCCATCTTGTTGCCTCACAGCTTTCACCTTACCCACCACTTAGTCAGGACGCTTTCTTTCGCTTCACAGTCTAGAAGGTGTAGTGGCGGCCCCCACGATTCGGAATTTCTTGTCTTGAGCTAGCTCCGACTCAGCATCCGCATCCACTTGGCCTTCTTGCAGAAATGGCAGGCGCATCCTGTGCACAAGTGCCGACAGAGATTTGGAGCCTCATACTGAGAGAAATGGATTTGGAGACGGTATTCGATGTTCGCAAGGTTTCCAAATGGCTCAGAAATTTGGTCGACAGCCAAGAAGACGTTTGGCGTAGGATTGCGCATCAATGGGGACTCGTTCGCGACATCGACTCGCCTTTGCCGATATCCTTTCCTGCGCATATCGATCAGCCCGACATGCCCGCACTCAAAAGCGCCACCGGATACTACAGCGAAATCTTGTCATTCAAACACATGTGCTTCCTGCACGCCCGTCTTTCCAGATCTTGGACCACCCCAAAAACCTTTCACAAATGGTGCGACTCCAAGGCACAGCAGCATGCGACGCCATGGGGCGCCCTATCGACGACATCGCACAAACAATTCAAAAATTTCCTGGGTACGGACAGATGTGGTGTCTTGCGCTTCTCCGAATTCGACTTTCGGGACGACAAGTCGGGCCCACTTTACAGACAACAGCACTTAGATGTCCTTGGCTTCCTCAGTGCAGGCGCTAGCTCGAAGTGCGCGGGTACGACGCTCAAAGACGGGCCACGTGTAAAGGACTTTAAACACTACCGCTTTGACGGCATCTGGGCGGTTCGTTCTGACATGGAGGGTGCTATGGGGTCGCCAGAATCGTTTTGTGTTCTTCAAGGTTGCAAGATCGTCGACGGTGGATTTGAGCTTCTAGCCTCACTGCGTGTAACACTGCACGATGGATATCTACGAATGCGCGATCGCTCTCTAGTGCCACCTTTCTTGAACGGACACACCTGCATCATTGTCAAGGGATACTATCCCGGTAGAGCCTTCGATTCAAGGCAGCAGAACGTGGACTCTATTTTCATTTGGGACTTTCTACTAGACCAGGTGAAAGAGGTGCATGTTCCCATAGATGGAATGCCCCTACACGCTTGCTATGATGCCAGTGCCCAGCTTCTGCTTCTCTCACGAGAGGAAGTTGGTGTGAGTGCCTACAGCACGGCGGCCCAAGACTCAGACGTGCAAGGGAAAAGTCTAGTCACGTCTCCGTTGCGGCACGCACAAGTATTTGTGGGTACCATTTACCCCGTAGACGACGGTGAAGGACTTAAGCATCACGCTCTGCGGCTCGATTGGAGGAAGACCGATACGGTGTGCCTAGGATTGGAGGATATCTGGCGCCCGTGAGTTCAAGAGCGTGACCACGGTCACTACCAAGGTCATCGAGACACTTACCCACGAGCGTCCATTCATTGACCGCCACCTTTTGCAGGAGCGTCGATGAATTCTTCAAGAAGCGGGAGGTACGTCCGATTCTGCACGCTGCCTTGCCACAAGCGTTGAGACTCTCATGCTCGATTGAGCCTGCAGTGCGGCAAACCTACTGAAATTTGCAGCGGAAGAAGCTTGAAATATAATTCATCCGCAGCTTTCCATGGCAAGATGCACATCGACGACAGTACGGACACTCTTGTACTGACCAAGCACTGGGGAATGATCCTAGTGAGGCCCTTCAGTAAGCTTCACAACCGCGACAGGTCTTGTCCTTTGCAAGTGGGACTCTTGCACTATCACTCCACTGCCAAACACGACCGTGGCTACTTTCATTGGATCGGACCCTCCGGAGGCTTTGCAGCATCGAAGAATGGACGTCTATGTCACGCAATGTTGTTGAAAGATCGAAGTTTCAACGCACAGGTGCACGTTTTCGTGATCGACCTAGACGCCTTTCGGCTTTTGGCTCGTCGCAAGGCGAGCAAGGATTTATTTGACAATGTCCGCGTCTTTCACTTGCAGCAAACGCGCATGTCGGAGATCGAACCTCGTCTCGCGGTCGAGCCGAGTATGGATCAGCCTCAGCTTGAAGGTCCTGTCTCTATGAAATTGTACTCGCTTCGCTCAGTCTACCTGGATGCGACGACAGTATACGTACAGGACTCTGACCACAACTTGTATTACATGGATTTCGGTCTGGCGGTCGCGACCGACACGAAGAGCTCTGCTTGGACGCTCGAGGAAGACAATTAGAACAAGCCGTCCAAGCTTTTACATTCACGATCACATTCAAATGCCTTGCATGCCATCGAGCACCGTGGCATCGAGCGATGCTTGATTCTGCATCTGCCACCATCCTTCTTGGCTGTGCTTCTGGGCCACATCATAGTCGCGACTGATCTGTCACATACAGGGCTGTCTTCTTGAAAAATTCCGATGCAAGAAATCAATTGTGCAGGCCACGTGACAGACGGCGCATCGAATCGTTTCACTTGTGGCAAGATTTGTATCAAATCTTTGATTCTTAAGCCATGTTCAAGATTATTCACGACCTCTTCACGCTCCTTCGTTGATAGCGTCAAGACCTACCCGCGGCCACAAGTCAACAAGTGTAGAAAGCGGCGCAATCATTAATTTCGAGAAAGTTCATCTTTCTGGGGTCGTATTCTCGCATTCTTACTAAAATTGTGCTGGGACTCGCCTTCCGGCTTCTTCCCTTCCACCATCCGACACGTTTGCGCTAAGCTTGCCCATGAGCTACCTGTGGCGCGCATACACACCCATTTTCTCAACCCCTGAAGGCGATCTTGGGGCTCAAGCATCTTCAACCAGCTTACTTGAGTGCGATTAAGAGCTGCCCTGCTTATTACTCTTACTCAATACTCAATACTCGCTACAGAAAAGGACTGCCATACAACGCTGTCGTTTCGGATAGCGTCTTCGGACTCGGATGGCGCTTCTACATCGACGCCCGCTTGCAGCCATCGAGTTGATCGATAGCAATTGTTCTGCAGTGTGCGAAGACCAAACGCTCCAGAGAGGGCACAGTCCTGGACACCACCACGATGGCCAACATGCAGGCATTGCGAGCTGAATTGTTTCGCTTGGTCATTTCAAGCCTTGACCCGAAGAGCGTCTTTCGCGCGAGAAGAGTCTGCGTGAGCTGGAAGCTGGCAATCGATGCAGACGATACCATCTGGCGCAGCATTGCGCGCTGTTGGAATCTGGAAGAAGACCTCGTAGTGTTGTCAGCTTCGAGCGGTGCTAGGGCTAGGGCTGTAACCCAACAGAATTCTGGTGCTAGCTGCGCGCAGCTTTTGAGAAGCAGTGTCAACGAATCAGATACGAAGTCTTCATTCAAGCTTCTATGTTTTGCGTACGTCCAAAGGACGCTCTCATGGACGACAGCTGATGACTTCATCGACGCATATCAGAGCCTCAAATCGAGAAAGTTCGCCAATGCGAAGTGGTGGTCGGAGGGCGTGTCCAGCAACAAACCCGCACCCGGCAAGCCCCGCGCGCGCGTCCATCAGAACTGCCCCTCACACGAATTTGTCGTGGACACCATTGGATCATCACGGACTCTGCGACTTTACCACAAAGACTCAAGCACACCACTCAGCTCGACAGGATGCCTGCCAGAGGTCTGGCGAGAGTTCTGCCTTCTTGTTCGACCTCCCACTTGCGTCTTCAAACCACAGCCGCGTGCACGTGGGTTCCCGGAATACGTGGGCGTGTGGGATACGTCGTCCAGCAAAGCGCCTGTGGTCTTCGATGTGGTCCGAAAGGTGGATGATCTAGATTTTGATGCCGATGAGAGTCTGCTATTTGGGCATGAGTCGGGAACCAACAGCCCAGTCATCTACTCGTGTAGTGATGGTGCCGTGTTGTCGGAGAACCTTTTTGAAAATGTTTGGTGGCTTCTCCACATCAACGCGCAACCGTCGATCAGACAGACACCCTTTGATCTAGCACAGACAGCTGGACAAGTGCTCATAGGTACCGCATACTGCTCGGTCCAAAGGAATGAGAACCGGGAGTATGAGCGGCTGCAAGTAGACATCCGATGGGAATCCCCACAAGATGAGCCGAACTCCCGGCTTCACTACTTTGACAGGTGCGTCGCCCCGCGGCGGTGGACTTACGCATCAACTGGACGCAGACTGACCCCGTCAACATTCTCAAGGTAGCTTTCGAGATTTCATAAAGGCGCCCAGCGTGAGTTCGAGCTACACCTGCGGGACGCAAGGGCTTCGTAGAAAAGCTGACACGTTGACGAAGGCTTTCAGGCACCAGGAGCCTATTTGAACGGCATTGAACCCAAAGTTTTGGAAGTACACGCAGACCATGAGACAGCCACGCTAGTGCTCAGCTATAGCTGGGGATTGGCTTTAGTGCGCCCATATACTTGCATCAAGTCTCCAGAACATTGGTCATCGCTACGAGTGGCCTTCCTCGACTACTATCTCGTCGGACAAAGCGCCGTTTCGGAGAGGAGGTGGAACGTGAGACGCAGCCGTAACGACTACGCTTCTGGACGCGTGTATCAAAGATTGGTGGAACGGCACGAGTACGGCTTCTTTGTCGACCTCGATGCTCACCGTCTGGACCCAACCTGGACGCCAAAGCACCACCTCTTTGAAAACGTCAACGTCTGGTGCTCGAGACGGCCTGCACGCTTTCCCGCGGCCTTCTAGATAAGCACCAGTCAAGAGCGTCAGAGCGGAAATTGAGCTGGGCATTGTTTCGCCTTGCCGTTATGCGAAGTCAGCAAAGCACGGCGTCCATCGACCAATCGAAGCTTTGGCACAAGACTGCTCCGCACACTGCAATCGTCGCCATAAAAACCGGCATAGCTAAAGACGCGCGAGCGATGGCCCGGCCGCTTGATTGACGGAAGCGCGCCATCTAACTGCCCACCAGGCGAACCATGCATGCGATTCACAGAATCTAAGGCGGCTAAAAGTCTTTCTCTCTCTCCACCCTTGTGCCTGCAGCGTTTCCAACTCCTTCGCTGAACGATCAGCTAACGAATATCTGTTGATCGACAAGCATTGTGACATATGACAAATGCTATACTGATGAAAGAATGTCTTGATCTGGACCCTATTCGCGATGGTGAGAATGTTGCGCTCTCAATAGGTACGGCAGTCGAGTCGTGAGTCACGAGTCAAAAGTCATGAGTCCGCCGTGTCAAGACTTTGACTTGTGAAGAAGTCGCGCGTGCGCACGCAAAAGAGTCGTGAGTCGTGAGTCGTGAGTCGAATCATGATCAAAATTTGAATCAACAAATGAATCAAAATCTCAAATTCTTGAATCTTGAATCAAAGAATGCAGGTCGGCGTGGGCTATTTTGGGTGCAAGGCGGCGCGTGGGCGCATTTGGAATGCAGGGCGGCGTGGGCGCATTTCAAGCATCACGTCGCGTCGCTGCCAGCCAACACGTGATGCGCTTACTCGCACAGTTTTGAATTGGTGGGCTTGGGACGCGTGTGCGAGGAGGATTCAAATCTGGGTGCGCACAGGGTGCTCGGCGCTTCTCTTACAACCACACCATCATCTTCATCCGTAAATGTTGATCGCTGAAGCATGAGACCGCTAGCTTGTAAAGACTCTGGACCCACGTCCGCACTCGAGCTCTTCCAATTGCACCTTCAAGAAGACTGCGTTTGTTCGCTCCAGATCGTTGCAGATTCAGCGACCGACTCTGAGCACGTCCCCATCCTTTCAGCCCACTGAGCCGCGCATACATAGACGCTCACGACTCAAATTCGCTCCTCCGTCAGCTAGCCGCGCATATGAAGGCACAAAAAGCCTTCGAGTCGTCGAACACTTTGGCCAGCGATGCAGACACTACCGGTAGAGATCTTCCGTCAGATTATGGTCCATGCTGATCCTAGGGCAGTGTACCTCAGTCGACGCGTATGTATGCTATGGAAAAGGCTTATCGACGCCGACCAGCATATATGGAGCAGTGTGGCTTATCAGTGGCGTCTGGTCAGTAGCGCAAACTCACCGCTGCCTCCCTGCATCAGTGAACTACCTCTGTCTTCTGGCGACGATGGCAGCGAGCCTTATCAGATTTGGAGTGCCCCGAGGCTACCTTACTCATACTACCGCGCCAGAACTCATCTTCATGGTGTCGACTCGCTCAAGAATCTCTGCTCTGTGCATGTCAGCCTCACCGAAAATTGGGAGGAAGCCCGTGACTTCCTAATCCACACCTGCCTTCAGGAGGAGGTGGGCACGCTACCGCTTCCGCCCAGCGAAAGTATTCGGAGAGTCCGCGGCAAATCAAGTTCTCTGTACGAGCTCGTGGAGGTAGACGATGGACAGATTATGCCTTTGATTTGGGCAGTGGAAACCTGGAAATGGAGCGGAGGCCGGAAGAAGATGATCAACAGGGTAAGACTACCTGGGCGCAAGCATAAAACAGACTGCCTTTGCATTCGCTTTCCTTACTGCGTCACGTTTGTGAGGGCAACTCGCAACAGGCAACAGCTCATCTACTGGGACATACTGTCTCCCAGCGACCCTGTCGTTCTTGAGACGATGTTGATTTTTCCTTCCCACATTTCAAAATTGGATTTTGACCTCGAGGCTCAAATCGTCATTGTGACCTCCGGCGACCACACCCTTGTTCAGTCACTGCGCGACGGCTCCGTGCTTTCGTACGTGATGGCGCGACCGTCGGCCGTGCTTAGCGAATGGTATGATGACGGGACAGAGGATCCGACAGCGTTGGCCTTCGATATGATTTTGGGCAGTCTTGATATTGCGGTTGGCACCATCTACCTCGACCCCGGCAGCCATACAAAAAAGAGAGGGCCACTAGTACCGACGATCATCGAGTGGAAAACGATGCCATGTCAGAAAGCCAATGCCAACTCTGATCCAGGAAAGTGAGTCTGGACTGATGGTCAAAGGAACGAGTTGACAGCGATTTTTCCTGACCGTCTGTGAATAGGCCTCAGCCATTCAATCTTTGGACTTTCAAAGATCGTCTCGAAAGATGTCAGGTCAGTACACGAGAGTGTGTCTCCACACGAAGCCCTCTCTTACACAAGTCGAACACGCAGCGTGTGGGCGCATTGCTCAATGATCACGACCCAAAACCAGTGCACGTATCGGTGGACCGGGAGACTGATACCCTCATTGTGATGCTCGCTGGAGGCTTCATCTTGATCCGGTCGTATTCTTTGATGCACGATCCATCTTGCTGGCATCAAATGCGCCTGGCGCTCGTCCGATACTTTGCGTTGCAATCGCCGATGCTAGCAGGCAAAGTTCATCTCGATCGCAATAGAGCGGTGAGCGACATTCGAGGTGGCAGAATGTCTTTCTTTGCGCCTTTTGGTGCCGAGCGTGACGATGAGGCCTACATGTGCGAGGTTCTGGTCGACCTCAAACCGCATCGACTGGATACCGCCTATCAGTATCAAAGTTGTCCTTTTCGATGCATCAAAGCCTGGCAGCGTTGGGAGCAATGTTGATCTACCGGGCTCTGGCGCCGCCCTTCATTTCGCGCTGAAAATGGACAAATCACATAGTGAACAGCGCAGCTCACCTTCTCTTTGGGGGTAGACGAGACGAAGAACAAGAACATATAACAAACTGCGCAATCAACAAAAGACTCAAGACAGAAGGCAGATGAGAACAACACAGAACAGACTTCGTCACGAGTACACTTGGCCTGGAAAACATCGGCTTGAAGCCATGAGAGACATTTACTGGCGGTCGATCCCCTTGATACGTCGTAAATTGAAGAAGTCTGCCAAGAAAGCGCCTTGGTCATCAATCAGGCAGCGAATGCGATCGTATTTCTCAACAAACCCATGTTTGAATAGCTCAAGAGGCAGACCGTGGTGCGAGCCTTCCAAGAAGATACTAAATGAGTCAAAAGAGCTTAGTATTGAGTCTCTCTGACCGAATCTTCCATCGTAAGGACTGAATAGGTAGACTCACGGAATCAAGAATGTGGAAGAGCTCACGAAAGCAACGGGAGAAAGGCTTGGAACTTCATGCGCGCTCGCGATCCGCGTTCGCGCAAACGCGTCACGTGCAAAAATGCCAGACGCGTTCACGCTGCGAGTCCGCGGTCCGTGCATGCAGGATCTTGATCCTATGCATGCTGCTTGCCCCTGCTGTTCCCACGAGCTTCCAGGTGCTCGACTCTCCTAGGTACGCACACTTACCCACCTTCTTCCGACAACACCACCACCACCGCCCAGTTTGCCAAGCTCTTCATGCACCTGTGACAGAAGCTGACCTACGTTGCCTGCAGTCACTTCGATTTAGCGAAGGCGTGGGGTCCCTTGCTCAGTGGCTGCGCCGTCAAAAGACGGAAGGTGACCAGCATTCTCCTTCTCCCCGCCCTTTGCGCGTCGGCGCAGGATCAACTCTGCTGGACTGCTCGAGGTACCTGGTCAGCACCAGCCTTGCGCGTGGATGCGACTTTGAGCATCACAGATAGCTCCCATCCAACAAGCCACCTTCCGGTCCATCGTCGCCGAGATGTCCGTTCAACTTGCCCTCGGCCTACCTGTCGAAATCTTCTCGCAGATCTTGCAGTCTGGGGATGCCAAGACGATCTACCGCAGCAGGCTAGTGTCGCAGGTGTGGAGGAGAACAATCGACGAGGACGAGGCGATCTGGCGAAGCGTAGCCCTGCAGTGGAAGATCATTCCCGCACTCGATGCGCAGCTCCCCTCGGCTGAGCTTGATAAGACGCCCTTGGATGCGCGTGCGCAGGTGGCATCGGATAGCACGCTGAGCGGAACTGCCTACTTTGACGAGCTCACATCGCGCAAAGACCTCTGCGACAGATATGTGCGTCTTTGTGCAGATTGGTCGCTATCGGAGCATCATCTTCGCGACTCCTTTGTCTCGGGACGTATGATCATCTACGGACCCATGGGGACTGGTCAAGCATGGCAATCCAGAACAGATCTGATCACAACGAGTAGATCTGGCACCTTGTTCATGGCGACAGGTCGGCATGACGATACGTTCTACTGGGTGCGAGAAGTATCGATCAAGATTGCGATGGAGAATGGCATCACGACGAAAGGACTAGATTATCCACCGCAAGCCCATGTTTCCCGCCATCGCGTTGATACAAGAGGAGGTGTGCACGCAAGACTTTACGGGAGCACGTGGTGCGAGATATTCGTACGGGAAGATGACGGCACGTGCTTGGACTTTTGGCAGAGAACGGAGCAGGGGCTCGTCAAGAGCGGAAGCGTCAAAGTTTGTGAGGATTACCTAAAGGGCTGGAAGCTTGCGGTCCACTATCCATACTGCATTGCAATTCCACGGATCACCGTATCAGCCAGAATTCAACGACGAGATGTGTTCAAGATTGACATGCGAACGCATGAAAACGTCGCAAGCTTACTTGACGGATCTATCTCGGAATGGGCCCGCGTACAGAGTGTGGACTTCGATACAGAAGCAAAGATTCTTGTGATTACCTATGGAGATCGGGTCGTCGTCTATTCTACCGAAGACTGGTCTGTACTTTCAACCGATGTGTGTCATCCCCTTTCGCTTTCCATCACCAAGCGTCCGGCGCAATCCGGGTCAGGTGGAGTTGACCTGCACGCGTCGCAAGTCTCGGTCGGAACTATCCACTTGCCTTCCGTTCTAGCGAAGGGCTTGGCGCTGCCACAAAGTAGCTGTACTTCTCTCGAAGTGGAATGGCAGAAGGCCCAAGATTTGACGGCAGAGCAAGGCAGCTCCTTCGGAGAGTGAGTATTGATCACAAGTACCCTCACATGCTCATCGTTGACCCAGAGCGATTCCAACAGGTCACTGGAAAATTTGATCAAGTGCCCATTGGTGAGTCCGGCTAGTATGCGTGCCGCAGGGATAACTCTGAAAGGTCTTTTGTGTTGCAACCCAAGGAAAGCAAATCTGAACATCTATACCACAGCTCAGCACCGGAAGTCAGGACAGTCCACCTGGATCGGCATACGGATACTCTCATCTCAGTTCTTTGGTGGGGCGTCACCCTCGTGAGACCGTACTCTGCGATCCACGGAGACCATTCGACTCTGAATGTGGCATTCTTGCGGTGCTCTGCCGGAGCAACTCCGATCTATTTGGACACGGTCAAGTCGAGCTTCGGGGAAGGAAAGTTCGTGCAAGTCATGAGACATTTGCCGTTCAGTGAGGGACGGGAGACGCAGCACACTTTCGTCATCGACCTCAACGATCGCCGCTTGGATACAGCATGGCAGCCAACGAAGCACGTATTTGAAAATGTCAAGGCTGTCCACGTTGCCAGAGAGTCGTTTCGACATTACGACAATGACTACAGTGCTAGCGATGGTGATCAGTACTCGGAATATGTCACCGACGACCTTGTCGATGTTCATATCGACGCAACGACTGTCTACTTGCTTCGATGCGTCTCTGGATTGACCTACTACGACTTTGGAGGCCGGATCAACGTGCCAAAGCAGGCAGCTGAAGGCGGACCTGCAAGGCACATCATTGGAGAAGATCAGCGCACGCGCGTGTACTAGTGGCTGACAAAGCCAGTCATTCGATCAAATGCAGATTTTAACTTGGATCATCGACTGTCTTAGCATGGGTCAGTACCCACATTTGTCTTGG